AAGTGAACATCTACGATGAGAATCTCAGTGCACAGGAAATCAAGCTGCTCTGCAAGTACCGCAAATCGTGCTACGAGAAAGGCGAGCTGCCGCCAATTTTGCACGCAAAAACAATCCAACATTTGCAGGTGAAGGACGAGCAACACAAACCGCTGGAACTACGCTGTAAGTACAGGAAATCGTGCTATGAGACCGGAAAACTGCCTGAGAATCTGCACGAGAATTTCCGGGTGACACATCTGGTGGAGAAAAAAGAAGAGCACATTCCACTGACACTGCGCTGCAAATATCGCAAGTCGTGTTATGAGACCGGCATACTGCCACCCATCGAAACGAGCAGCATTTTCTCATTCCTGAGCAGCAGTTTCGAGGAAGAAGAGGAGGAACTGGCCGAACGGGAACTGACCGAGAACGAGAAGAAACTGCGCTGCAAATACAGGAAATCATGCTACGAGACGGGAATGTTGCCGCCACGCCTCAATCAGACGGTTGAGGTGATTGCAAGCTCGATTAAGGAGCAATACATGAGCCCGCAGCTGAAGTGCAAGTATCGGAAATCGTGCTACGAAAGCATGAAGCTCGATATCCAGCTGGACAAGGTACGCAAGAAGGAGAAGCAAAAGAAACCGATCGAGGGGATAGCTGTGGAGACGCGATACCCAGCAGAGCCGAGCACTGCTAAATACAAGGAGAAAGAGCAAAAAGACGTGTCGGACGAGGAGCGTACGGAGGAGCAAGAGGAAAGTGAGCAACAAATACGCAAAGAACGTAGTAAGAAGGTGAAGTACGACGAAGAACAGTACATGCAAATTGCGCCGCTCGATGAGCAAAAACGACCGAATCAAACTCGAACGCTCAGTAAAGCACAGAAACTTAGATGCAAATATAGACTGAAATGCTACGATGGCACGCCGCTCGAGCAAGTGATCGAGGAGAAACGAATTGAAGCCAAAAAACAAGTGAATATCAAAGATTTTCGACGAGCGAATGGTGCCATCTGCAACAAATATTACATATCGTGCCGAGAGAAGGCCGGTCTGCCGATTCGTGAACGTGCGCCAATAGGCCCGAACGGACGACGCCTTTGCCGCAAAAAGAATAAAAACGAGCGAAAAGCTCAGTGATTTTTATTTTTTTTTTTCATAGATTTCGTTCATTGTACGTGTATTTCCAGTCACTCGATTTTTTTTTTTGTAGTTATGTTTGCGAATATTTGAAGTTATCACAACGAAAAATGTTTCGAAATGT